ACAGTCCGGACAAAGCTGCAGTGACCTCTGAACTGAGGCCTTCAGCTAAAAAAACGAGTAAACCCAGCCAAAGTGAAAGCGTCTCGGCGATTCCGTCTGGCACCCTCGGTAAACTGTATCTCCCGGATGACTGACAAACTCGACATAATCACTCCTACCGGGAATGGCACCGTTCATCATCACTGGCAGTTAAAGGCTGGGATAGGTATCCGCTTCGTGGGACCAAGACAAGTCTGTCAGGTACTTCCTAATCGATTTATCATCAAAAGTCTCCAGTAAACAAACAGTAGTCCGCCATTGCAAATGCTACCGACAATTCAATAACGACAAAAACCTGGACAACACGGATGTCAATCAACCAGGCGAGTCCCAACCCATAAAATCTGGGTAAAGTGACGCTAGCTACTTGACCAAACATCACTGCTGGTACCACACGCAGAAACTGTACATAAATAGACCAGCTTGATATGCAGGAATATTGTACAACGCTTCACCGAGTCTTGTTACTATATAACAGACTACTCGTAGCAGCTGTGTGGTGTATCACTGGGTGTAATCGTGGTCTGTTTCGCAAGCCTCAGCACCCTTCCTTTCACATCATCGTCAAGTGTCTGGATAAATATGTCAAACCGGGTGGTTGTAGAGCTGATATCTACGTCGAAGGGTAGATAGATTCGATGAATCGAATCATTCATGAAAGGTGAAGATCGGATGGTAGATGACGGGGGAATCCGAGATCATCAATCACCGCCGTAATGTAGAGGCCTGCGCTACTGACATAACTTCTACTTCTGTGCAACCAACCGAAACGATGCACTAACTGGAAGCGCCGTACTGGATGAAAGCGTTGATACAGAAGAGAGCGGCGCTTGGAGTAAAGCGGTGCTCTGGATGGAAGCGTTGATACCTAAGTAAGTGTCGCACTGGATGGAAGCGTTGATACATAGGAGTGAGTGACTTTGGTTTTACGCCGCTTTTAGCAACATCCCAGCAACACCACGGTGGGGGACACCAGAAATGGGCTTCACACATTGTACCCATGTGGGGATTCGAACCCGGGTCTTCGGCGTGACGAGCCAACGCCTCAACCACTAGGCTACCCCACCGCCCCTTGATACATAAGAGAGAGGCGCACTGGATGGAAGCGTTGATACATAAGAGAGCGGCGTACTGGTGTGAATGCTCTGTCTGTTCACAAACACCGTAGAAGCAGGAAGCGTAACCCCGAAGCCAAGCTGAGCACTGGTAAAAACTGTAGAAATGAGGTATCAACGCCGAAGTTGGAAAAAGTGTTGAAGTAGCACTGCAGTAGACAAAGTCACTGTAGGTACCGTAGTGTGCGAACTACTAAACAAACCATGATGACAGTATGCGCATAGAGGGAACCAGATGATTCGGCGAAAGCTGACAGTCCAGCAAACACTGTCGGATCGGCGAATACTGTTTGAGCAGCGATCTGGTATGGTGCAGCGATCAGGATCGATTAGGTGATCTGGTTCGGTACTGTGATCCAGTTGTGTCAAGTGATCAGGTTCTAAAGCGCTGAGTTAATCAGGACCGGTGCATTCGTCTTAAACGTCGTACCATACAGAAAAGGTGTACTGGACTGAAAGGTGTTCCAACCAAACAACAGTTCACTAAGTTGAATCGTTGCCCCAATCGAAAACAGAACACTGGCCCAAAGCGCCGATCCAATCGAAAAGGCACTCTGGGCTGAAGTGTTGATCCAATCGAATGCGCCTGCAAGGTACGGGAAAGGTGTTGAAAGCGCCACACTGGATGCTACCGTCATGGCTGATGTCACCACAGAAAGATATGAGAGCGCCGAACTGGAACAAAACGCCGCATTGGAAGCAAGCGGCGCATAGGTTGAAGCGCCGAACTGATCCCTGTGGTTGAAAGCGCCGAACTGACTGCACTCGCCACATGAGAGTGAATGCTTTCACCAATCGAACCCACCATAGCAGAGGGGGGTGGAGCACTCAACCAAAGCGGCGCACTGGAAACCACCACCTGCCAAGGTAAAAAGGCCGAGACTGTGCTACAGAGGTTGTTAGCACTAGGTACCACTCTCGGAGCAGATAAAACTTGTCTGGAGACGGGACTAGACGTTTGATGACGAAAGAGACGACGGAGATACTCGCTCAAGTAGGAGTCTTGATGCCACCTCTAAAAAGTCTACGTCTAGATGCGACCCGTCGATATTCAGAAAAAACATCATCATTGAAGCGTGAACAAACAGAACACCGATGTGACCAACTACAACAGCCTATACAATCCACAGACAAAGCGTGTGGATCAGCAGCGGAAATGTTGCTGTTGCACTGATCACAGTGTCTGCATTTCTTAGTAGAACTTTGATTCCATTTATTTCCCATCTCGACAATCAAATAATGTCTAACTGAGAGAACAACACACGTCCACACGACGTAGCGACAAGAAAGAGAATGACAGGCACAGGTAGTCACATGATCATGTGAGCAAGCTCCACGCTTACGGAGATGATTGACAGGTGCTGATGTCGGAGTAGGGGCAGAGGTCAGGGCGGGTCAGAGGCCAGCAAGATTTGATTCAACTTAGCCTACAGCACGTTTCCACACATGGTCGTAGAAGAAGAGGAGAGGTGCATACCGTGAGATAGGATAACTTTAAAAATTTCCAATTGTGAAAACTAAGAGAACCTGTACATCCTTTATTCCAAGTACCATATCTCTCTTAAACAAATGTGAAGATACCTAAATCAAAGAATTTATGTAAATATGTTTGGTATCTCTCTAATGTGTCAGTAGCTCTGCTGATGTAACACAAATTCCTGAAAAGGCATTATTCTATTCTATTCTATCTAGGTGATACCAGTGAGGGGCGGTGGGGTAGCCTAATGACTAAAGCGTTGGCTCGTCACGCCGAAGACCCGGGTTCGAATCCCCACATGGGCACAATGTGTGAAGCCCATATCTGGTGTCCCCCGCCGTGATGTTGCTGGAACATTGCTAAAAGCGGCGTTAAACCAAACTCAGTCAGTCAGTGATACCAGTGAATGCAGGTGAATCACAATTTGTGTGTATATCATCTCTATTGTATGGCAAAATCTGCAAGACTCATGTCGTTTTGTTAACTACCTTTCTATTGTGTTTTGGTTTAAAGGTTGATTAGTGTCATCTGTATGTTGTGACATAGAGTTCTACATGTGAGAACTCTCATGTGTCACAGGTAGTAAACATGGTTAATTATCCTTGAGAGGCCATCCCCAACAAGCTCAGGCACACATCAGTGGTCCAATGACTTCAAATGTATGCTTGCACCTTAATTACAGAGATGGGACGGGCATCAAGATCCGCCCTCTCAGCTCAGAGTGGATGCGTGCACACCAGAGTGTCACTGTCTTTTGTCCGACTTTCAAGCGTAGTAGGTTTGGCCTTTTCACTGATCTTGTCATTCTAAATGTCTTGTGGATTTTCCCCCATGCTTTGTACAGATTTTCAAAATGTGATCAATGCCACATCCCATACAGAGTCCCATCATACTCCCTCAATCTAGCCCTGTAGTTGTTCTTGTATGATGAAGTAACAACATGAACTCAGAACCAGAGGTTGAAATGATCAGCAAAAACTTTGCTACTTGACATCTGGACACACAGGAAGAAGAGATGATTTGCACTTTGCGCATGAGCAGTTGCGTCCCTCACAACTACTGAGATATGTTGGCCGTAAAGAGAAGGTCTGTTGAAAATGTCTGATAACATTTATAGTGTGATTGACAGCCAAACATCAATTTATGCCTGTGATGAAATAGAGGTAAGGTATTCAAAGGAATTAAATTACAGCCAATATCTCTTAGGATGTCTTATGATAAGTTACTTACTAAAACAAAGAGGTCGACGTTAGATGAAAATAAAAGACAAGGTTATTATCTAAGATATACTCGGGAACAGAAGAACAAATGTTCTTGCTTCATGTAAGACCACCCATACACATACAGCTGAATACTTAGCAAGTGCAGTTTTCATTGTAAGACACCTGATTCATGGATATTTACACCTGTGAAAAACAACTGAGCTAGTGTGTAATGACAGATCAACCACCAGTCCAATACAGTCTAATACGAGTTGAACAATTACCGTTGATGTAGTAACTCTAACTCTCATGTCAAACTGTGAAACTTTTCACACCATAAGGACACAACAAACCATGTTTCTTTAAGATGTATTTACTACAAAAATTGCCTCAATTTACAAAAGTGTGTTGTATAATTTATGAAATAACATTGAACATGAAGGCTTTTGTACATTCTACAGCTGTAGTCCTAACAGAGTAGGACTGCTAGTAGTCTGGTGGTATCTTCAAACAGTGCTACAACACTGACAGAGTAGGACTGTCTGATGGTATCTTCAAACAGTGCTACAACACTGACAGAGGACTGTCTGGTGGTATCTTCAAACAGTGCTACAACACTGACAGAGTAGGACTGTCTGATGGTATCTTCAAACAGTGCTACAACACTGACAGAGTAGGACTGTTAGTAGTCTGATGGTATCTTCAAACAGTGCTACAACACTGACAGAGAAGGACTGTCTGGTGGTATCTTCAAACAGTGCTACAACACTGACAGAGTAGGACTGCTAGTAGTCTAAAGGTATCTTCAAACAGTGCTACAACACTGACAGAGTAGGACTGTCTGATGGTATCTTCAAATAGTGCTACAACACTGACAGAGTAGGACTGTCTGAGTGGTATCTTCAAACAGTGCTACAACACTGACAGAGTAGGACTGCTAGTAGTCTGATGGTATCTTCAAACAGTGCTACAACACTGACAGAGTAGGACTGTCTGATGGTATCTTCAAACAGTGCTACAACACTGACAGAGTAGGACTGCTAGTAGTCTGATGGTATCTTCAAACAGTGCTACAACACTGACAGAGTAGGACTGCTAGTAGTCTGATGGTATCTTCAAACAGTGCTACAACACTGACAGTAGTGCTAGTAGGACTGCTACAACACTGTAGGACTGCTAGTAGTCTGATGGTATCTTCAAACAGTGCTACAACACTGACAGAGTAGGACTGTCTGATGGTATCTTCAAACAGTGCTACAACACTGACAGAGTAGGACTGTCTGATGGTATCTTCAAACAGTGCTACAACACTGACAGAGTAGGACTGCTAGTAGTCTGATGGTATCTTCAAACAGTGCTACAACACTGACAGAGTGACAGAGTAGAACTGCTAGTAGTCTGATGGTATCTTCAAACAGTGCTACAACACTGACAGAGTAGGACTGCTAGTAGTCTGATGGTATCTTCAAACAGTGCTACAACACTGACAGAGTAGGACTGCTAGTAGTCTGATGGTATCTTCAAACAGTGCTACAACACTGACAGAGAAGGACTGTCTGATGGTATCTTCAAACAGTGCTACAACACTGACAGAGTAGGACTGTTGGTATCTTCAAACAGTGCTACAACACTGACAGAGTAGGACTGTCTGATGGTATCTTCAAACAGTGCTACAACACTGACAGAGTAGGACTGTCTGATGGTATCTTCAAACAGTGCTACAACACTGACAGAGTAGGGACTGCAGAGACTGTCTGATGGTATCTTCAAACAGTGCTAGGACTGCCAGTTGTCTGATGGTATCTGCAAAGGACTGTGCTACAGTCAGAGTAGGACTGCTAGTGTCTGATGGTATCTTCAAACAGTGCTACAACACTTCAGAGTAGGACTGCTAGAGGTATCTTCAAACAGTGCTACAACACTGACAGAGTAGGACTGTCTGATGGTATCTTCAAACAGTGCTAAACAGTGCTACAACACTGACAGAGTAGGACTGCTAGTAGTCTGATGGTATCTTCAAACAGTGCTACAACACTGACAGAGTAGGACTGCTAGTAGTCTGGTGGTATCTTCAAACAGTGCTACAACACTGACAGAGTAGGACTGTCTGATGGTATCTTCAAACAGTGCTACAACACTGACAGAGTAGGACTGTCTGATGGTATCTTCAAACAGTGCTACAACACTGACAGAGTAGGACTGCCAGTTGTCTGATGGTATCTTCAAACAGTGCTACAACACTGACAGAGTAGGACTGCTAGTAGTCTGATGGTATCTTCAAACAGTGCTACAACACTGACAGAGTAGGACTGCTAGTAGTCTGATGGTATCTTCAAACAGTGCTACAACACTGACAGAGTAGGACTGTCTGTAGGACTGATGGTATCTTCAAACAGTGCTACAACACTGACAGAGTAGGACTGCTAGTAGTCTGATGGTATCTTCAAACAGTGCTACAACACTGACAGAGTAGGACTGTCTGATGGTATCTTCAAACAGTGCTACAACACTGACAGAGTAGGGACTGACAACACTGACAGTAGGGACTGCCTGTCTGATGGTCTGGTATCTTCAAACAGTGCTACAACACTGACAGAGTAGGACTGCTAGTAGTCTGATGGTATCTTCAAACAGTGCTACAACACTGACAGAGTAGGACTGCATGGTATCTTCAAACAGTGCTACAACACTGACAGAGTAGGACTGCATGTTGTCTGATGGTATCTTCAAACAGTGCTAAACACTGACAGAGTAGGACTGTCTGACAAACAGTGCTACAACACTGACAGAGTAGAGTATTGGATCTTCAAACAGTGCTACAACATCTGAGTAGGACTGGTATCTTCAAACAGTGCTACAACACTGACAGAGTAGGACTGTCTACAACACTGACAGAGTCTGATGGTATCTTCAAACAGTGCTACAACACTGACAGAGTAGGACTGTCTGATGGTATCTTCAAACAGTGCTACAACACTGACAGAGTAGGACTGCTAGTAGTCTGATGGTATCTTCAAACAGTGCTACAACACTGACAGAGTAGGACTGCTAGTAGTCTGATGGTATCTTCAAACAGTGCTACAACACTGACAGAGTAGGACTGTAGTGGTGGTATCTTCAAACAGTGCTACAACACTGACAGAGTAGGACTGTCTAGTGGTATCTTCAAACAGTGCTACAACACTGACAGAGTAGGACTGTTAGTAGTCTGATGGTATCTTCAAACAGTGCTACAACACTGACAGAGTAGGACTGCCAGTTGTCTGATGGTATCTTCAAACAGTGCTACAACACTGAAAGAGTAGGACTGCTAGTAGTCTAAAGGTATCTTCAAACAGTGCTACAACACTGACAGAGTAGGACTGTCTGATGGTATCTTCAAACAGTGCTACAACATTGACAGAGTAGAACTGCTAGTAGTCTGATGGTATCTTCAAACAGTGCTACAACACTGACAAAGTAGGACTGCTAGTTGTCTGATGGTATCTTCAAACAGTGCTACAACACTGACAGAGTAGGACTGCTAGTTGTCTGATGGTATCTTCAAACAGTGCTACAACAATACAGACAAACTGTAGCAAAATGCTTACCTGTCAAGGAGCTTATGGGATTCCGTGAAAGTCTTTTGATGAAAGCAAATCATATATTCTTTTGTGTTTATATGTTAAAGTTTAAAAAAATGTTTTGTTCCAATCTGAATATTGATGCGAAAGCTATTTTTAGCTCAAAATCAATGGATTTAATATCAAATACCATGCATATTTGGTTACAGAATATATTTCTCCTATGCTGTAAGTCACCAGATCTTTTTAGTTTGATTTTAGTCTTAAATTTACATAAAAGAGTTATTTTTAGCTCTAAAAGTTATAATGATGAATAAACCCCCCATTTCTTCACATTCATATGTTTTGTATAGAGTTAGTACAATATGAAAAAGGAATATACTTTTTACCCTGTTTATCAACTATAGAAGAGGTCTTTACATGAAACTGCGACCCAGAAACATACTCTTCAAAAAAAGAAACGCACAGGCCATTTTTAGAAGACTTTCTTGCATTAGTTTAGGAGCAATTATTTCATGTAATCCCAATGGTAAAAAGGTGAAAATTCAAACGTCTATAGACAAAGCCTTTACTGTTGTGTTTCTGTTTACTTGAGTCCACAAGATGAAAGTCAGTTCTTTGTATGGCCACCATTGGCGGCAATTACTGCTCGGCACCGTCTCGGCACAGACTGGATAAGTTGTAGGCGACTTCAATTTCCATTTTGACAACAAGGATAACCATGACACTAAACAAATACTGAATGTTCTTGAAGTCCACAACTGTCTACAACTCGTGTCTGAGACAAGCTACAGAGGTGGACACACTCTGGACTGGATAGTTACCCATGCTTCAGACGCGTGTGTCAGTTGTGTATCTGTATAAGATTTACAGCTCTCTGATCATTTCCATATCTTTGTGAGCTTGGACCTCTCAATACCCACTCCAAATGTGAAGAGTACTCGCTGTAGGAACATGCGCTCCCTGGATATGGATACTTTTAAAGACAATTTGCTAAACTCATCTGCTTGGGACTTCACACCTGAAGTTCGACAAGCGAAAAAAGACAAGAGGAAAGCAGAACGCAGATGGAAAACAATCTTTCCTGGAGATTCATCGCCAAATGTATATTTCAGCCAAAAATCACTCAACAACGGTCATCAGACAAATCAACTTCTCAATTCTAAGATGGAAGCCGAGTCAAGTCCAAAGTTGCTGTTCAAACTTTCAGTATCTTGGGTAAACACTTTGTATCGCCACTTCCGACATCTGATGACAATGAAGTAATAGCACAGACATTTTCGGATTATTTCTACAAAAAGATCCAAGAACATTCATGACAAGATTTCGTCTTCTGCGGCTGTGGATGAAGCTGATATTCCTCCAAAAATGTTTGATGGCACGCCTCTTACACATATTGATAGTTTCACTGATATTTACCAACATTAGTGCTGATTATTAACTCTTCTACTTCATCTGGTTATGTCCCAAGTGTACTCAAGTCAGCTCTAGTTAGTCCACATCTGAAGAAATCAAGCCTTGATTAGGAGGATCCAAAAAACTACCGGCCTGTTTCCAAACTCATTGAACGTGCAGTCTCCAGTCGTCTCATGGGCCACCTTTCCTGGCATAACCTCTATGAGGTGTTCCTATCAGCCTGCAGAGCACAGCACAGAGACGGCTCTGCTGAAGATCCTGAATGATCTACGATGTGGTATTGACACAGGACAAGTGGCCCAGCTCACATTACTTGGCCTAAGCAGTGCCTTTGACACGATTGATCACCAGAGACTCCTCAAAAGACTTGATACAGAACTTGGATTCAGCTTTATCCTGGCTGGCATCTTATCAAACCGTTGTTGTTGGTGAGTCTGTGTCAACCGCATCTAGGCTTGAGTGCGGAGTCCCTCAAGGATCCGTGCTTGGTCCGATCCTCTTCACCCTCTACACTGTTCCACTTGGCTCTGTTGCAGCAAACCTTAATCTTGACCACTTCTACGCAGATGACACGCAGCTGTGGAAGTTATTTCAACCAAACACAGAGTCAGATAGAGCGTCTCTCTATCAGACATCAGACTGTTGCCAGAAGATATTCATGGATGTCATCAAATGCCTTGAAATTAAATTAAGAGAAAACAGAGTCCATTCTTCTGGGACAGGATGGAAAACGCAAGCAGTGTGACATTACTAGTGTGTGTGTCTGTGGAGCAACCATTCCTCTTTCTTCCACTGTCAACGATCTGGATGTTTTCATCGATCAAGATCTAAGTATGACAGTACACGTCAAGTATGTTAGTAAAACTTGCTACTCCCATCTCCACAATATCAAAGGCCAGACCGTTATTACCAAAGATGCCTCAAAAACTCTCTGCCTCAGCCTAGTCACATCTCGTATGGACTACTGTAACAGCCTTTTGGCCGGATCTCCATCTTTTGTCACTGACCAACTCCAATGCATACAGAATTTAGCTGCTCGCATTACCTCCCAGATCACCAGAAAAAAGCACATCACACCAACTCTAAAGGACCTTCATTGGCTGCCCGTGAAACAAAGAATCTCCTTCAAGCTACTGTATTCTGTCTCGCATACCAGTGCATGACTAACATGGCTCCAGTCTACCTCTCAGATGTTCAGGCTTATGCACCATCTAGAACTCTCAGATCAGGGCATCAACACCTTCTTGTTATCCCCAAAGTCAAACAAGCTAAATATGGACACCGTGTCTTCTCCTATCCTGCTGATAAAAAAGATTTCTCCCACATTTATTTGTATATATTTTTTTTCCAAGATTATAGCCATTTTAGAATGATCCGATCCGATGACATGAAAATTATTTCAAGGGATTTAATTGAGAGAGTGTGAAGCAGAAAATAGTGTTTTCTCCCCTTCATTTCATTATAGTCTGATCTATTTTCAAAGAACTCTGCTTTTAGAAGAAAAACTTCAAGCGTAATAATAAGAAATTGATAAATCATAATCTGATATTGACCAACTGATTTTGAAATAAGGACTGCTCCCTTACTGACAGTCTCACCAAACAAAAATAAACATCTCACTTTTGTTTCATACATAACTGTTCTTCAATAACTTGATTTACATTGAGTTGATGAAATGAAGCAATCATATACTTACAAAATGCACAAAACCTACATCTGCTTAAATTCGTGTGCTAGCTGCCATTTTGAGAGAGGGAGTGTTCATTATATATATTTTTTTAATTTAAAAGAATATATATTGGGGTTTTCTTTTAATAAAATATTTCATGAAATAGAGAAACACACTTGGATAAAGTTAATAACTTCAAACTTTAAATATTCAACTCTGCCATTATGACCTTCTGACCTTTTAGCAACCTTTTCTACAACAATTTTGTACAGTGCTCAAAAGTACTATTTGCACCATATTTCAACTTGGAACCATACTTTTTATTTAAATAGCATGTCTGATGAATACAAAAAACACAATGTCTTGCTTTCATCACAAAACTTCCACGGGACTTGAATGCTGTACCCATCCTACCAGACTATACAAAAGAGGATGTACTTCATGATTATCAATTTAAGAAACAGTACAAGGAGAGAAATGTCACTGTTAAAAAGTCTTTCCATGCAATGTCATAGAGCAAAAGATTACACAGCCACCTGGAACTTGAGCTGGTTAGTAAATAGTGAAGAAAACTTGGTTCTTTGGTATAAAAAGAGAAACATAAAATGATTCTTTGGTCCAAATGTAAGGTTACTTCTTTGTGTGGCATATTTACAAGCTGGTGAAATTACATGTAAGGTCTTATCTAACTGGTTGGTCCACATGTTATCAAACTGCTTGGTCCACATGTTATCTAACTGCTTGGTCCACATGTTATCTAACTGCTTGGTCCACATGTTATCAAACTGGTTGGTCCACATGTTATCAAACTGCTTGGTCCACATGTTATCGAACTGCTTGGTCCATATGTTATCTAACTACTTGGTCCATATGTTATCAAACTGGTTGGTCCACATGTTATCTAAATGCTTGGCCCATATGTTATCTAACTGCTTGGTCCACATGTTATCAAACTGCTTGGTCCACATGTTATCTAACTGCTTGGTCCATGTTATCACTTAACTGTTATCTAACTGCTTGGTCCATGTTATGTTATCTAACTGCTTGGTCCATGTTATCTAACTGCTTGGTCCACATGTTATCTAACTGCTTGGTCCATATGTTATGCTATCTGGCAGCGGTGTTATCTTGTTATCCAACTGCTGTCCACATGTTATCTAACTGCTTGGTCCATATGTTATCTAACTGCTTGGTCCACATGTTATCTAACTGCTTGGTCCACATGTTATCTAACTGCTTGGTCCACATGTTATCTAACTGCTTGGTCCACATGTTATCTAACTGCTTGGTCCACATGTTATCTAACTGCTTGGTCCACATTTATCTCCTTGGTCCATATGTTATCTAACTGCTTGGTCCACATGTTATCTAACTGCTTGGTCCATATGTTATCTAACTGCTTGGTCCACATGTTATCTAACTGCTTGGTCCACATGTTATCTAACTGCTTGGTCCACATGTTATGGAACTGCTTGGTCCACATGTTATGGAACTGCTTGGTCCACATGTTATCTAACTACTTGGTCCATATGTTATCTAACTGCTTGGTCCACATGTTATCTAACTGCTTGGTCCACATGTTATGGAACTGCTTGGTCCACATGTTATGGAACTGCTTGGTCCACATGTTATGGAACTGCTTGGTCCACATGTTATCTGAGCTGCTTGGTCCACATGTTATCTAACTGCTTGGTCCACATGTTATGGAACTGCTTGGTCCACATGTTATGGAACTGCTTGGTCCACATGTTATTGAGCTGCTTGGTCCACATGTTATCGAACTGCTTGGTCCACATGTGTTGTCTCATGGCTGCCATATTAGACCTAAGGATCCAGTTTTATTATGATTACTTTCCCAAACAAGAATTATTGAAAACCACACAAAAGGAGTCACTTATTTACATTAGGGTAAGCATGAAAGCTTATCACAGACAGCAAAGACAGAATAATAGGAGCGATGTATGCCACAACTCCAGATGGAAGCATCAGTAAAACTGATCCCTGACTGGCTGCATCATATCACAGAATGAAGGCAAGTGTCACTGGTGTGAAGACGATGGTTCTGACGAGTTCCTGAGACATTCTTCACAAATACTAGCTGGCATGTTAGTGATCTACTGGAGGAATCCCTGACAAGCGGGAACTTGCATGTCTCTAGGATGGTGTAGACTGAAGCTGCAGCAGCAGTTCCCCTCTCTCATCCACCTTCTGCAGGAAGTGGTTCACCAGAGACAAAACAAAGTCCTGGAAGAAACAGGAGTGAATATAGATACATATTCTTTATTTCCAACTTATAAGGACAACATACACTTTCAGAATAGAAAAACTATGAAGGCTTACATTATGCAGTAATGTCCCATTGGGCAGGATTTATTCACGAACGTTTTCAGAGTATTCTCTCCCAATTTTGAACTGAGGAGCTAATCACCAATATTAGATCTGATATCTGAGATCATACCCTAATACATCCAGACAATTGTCAGTTATACAGTCAGTAAAGGACAAAAATAAACCATCAGATTCCATCCACATTTTAACAAAAATATCCACAACAAGAATGTCACAAATTCTTTCTTTCTTCTAAATTACATTGGCATGACACAAAAACATGTTTCATAATGTTATGAGCAATTGTACGGCATAAACATTCCTTTGATTCTACATTGCACCTAACCTTATAATCCTGGCAATATTAGTGAAACTGTATGGTCTCTCAAGACTGAAGTCCCATTACTTACCTTGTTGCTGCTGATTTTTTCACATTTCTTTATCCAGCGTTTGTTGTTTTTCTTTTCTACTTCAGACACCAAGTCCTAAAATAAATTTACACAATACTGAATTCTACGCTATGTTTTCGTGTGATTTATTTCTCCATTCCATAGGACAAATACCTGAGATCCATTCACCTGCATCAGTTCATGTTTAATCTGAATCAAATGACAAGATGCTCAAAAATGATTTAATTACAAATTTAAAATACAAAAAGTGACTTATAAAAGAGAACTTGTGAAATCAATAAAACAAAAGCAATACTTGCAATAGATGCACTATTGACATTGTAATGACTGTTAAAAATGAGAAAGATCTAACATTTCCAATTTGATGATCTTGGTTATTCTCCCAAGAAACAATTAACATTTTCTAAAGAGCATGAGACTGACTGGTTCTGCTTCCATATCTCCATCAGCACTCATGATGTCCTCAAGGTCAGACTGGCTGAGATTCAGGATGTTCTTGGCCACATCCTGGGCCTTCTGTAGAGAGAAGTCAACAGGCTGAGTGTTCTTCTCCTGCCTTATAAGGTGCTCCTTCACCTGCACCCTGGTACGCTCTACCCTCAACACCAGCTCCTTGCCCAGAGCCTGCAAATCACAGGGAGACAACTTAACACACAGCAACCAGGCAGGACATACCACAGCTTAACATACAGCCACCAGGCAGGACATACCACAGCTTAAGACACAGCCACCAGGCAGGACATACCACTGGTTAACATACAGCCACCAGGCAGGACATACCACAGCTTAACATACAGCCACCAGGCAGGGCATACCACAGCTTAAGACACAGCCACCAGGCAGGACATACCACTGGTTAACATACAGCCACCAGGCAGGACATACCACAGCTTAACATACAGCCACCAGGCAGGACATACCACAGCTTAACACACAGCCACCAGGCAGGACATACCACAGCTTAACATACAGCCACCAGGCAGGACATACCACAGCTTACCACAGCTTAACATGCAGCCACCAGGCAGGACATACCACAGCTTAACATACAGCCACCAGGCAGGACATACCACAGCTTAAGACACAGCCACCAGGCAGGACATACCACTGGTTAAAATACAGTCACCAGGCAGGACATACCACAGCTTAACATACAGCCACCAGGCAGGACATACCACTGGTTAACATACAGCCACCAGGCAGGACATACCACAACTTAAGACACAGCCACCAGGCAGGGCATACTACATCTTAAGACACAGCCACCAGGCAGGGCATACTACAGCTTAAGACGCAGCCACCAGGCAGGACATACCACTGGTTAAAATACAGCCACCAGGCAGGACATACCACAGCTTAAGACACAGCCACCAGGCAGGACATACCACTGGTTAACATACAGTCACCAGGCAGGACATACCACAGCTTAACATACAGCCACCAGGCAGGGCATACCACTGGTTAACATACAGCCACCAGGCAGGACATACCACATCTTAAGACACAGCCACCAGGCAGGGCATACCACATCTTAAGACACAGCCACCAGGCAGGGCATACTACAGCTTAAGACGCAGCCACCAGGCAGGACATACCACTGGTTAAAATACAGCCACCAGGCAGGACATACCACAGCTTAAGACGCAGCCACCAGGCAGGACATACCACTGGTTAACATACAGCCACAAGGCAGGACATACCACAGCTTAACATACAGCCACCAGGCAGGGCATACCACAGCTTAACACACAGCCACCAGGCAGGACATACCACTGGTTAACATACAGCCACCAGGCAGGACATACCACAGCTTAAGACACAGCCACCAGGCAGGACATACCACAGCTTAAGACACAGCAACCAGGCAGGACATACCACTGGTTAACATACAGCCACCAGGCGGGACACAGCAACCAGCCACCAGGCAGGAGCATACCACAGCAACATACAGCCACCAGGCAGGACATGCCACAGCAACATGCAGCCACCAGGCAGGACATACCACAGCTTAACATACAGCCACCAGGCCATACCACAGCTTAACAGCGCAGGCAGGACATATCACTGGTTAACATACAGGTCCACCAGGCAGGACATACCACAGCTTAACATACAGCCACCAGGCAGGACATACCACTGGTTAACATACAGCCACCAGGCAGGACATACCAGGCATCTTAAGACACAGCCACCAGGCAGGGCATACACATCTTAAGACACAGCCACCAGGCAGGGGGCATACTACAGCTTAAGGCGCAGCCACCAGGCAGGACATACCACTGGTTAAAATACAGCCACCAGGCAGGACATACCACAGCTTAAGACACAGCCACCAGGCAGGACATACCACTGGTTAACATACTGTCACCAGGCAGGACATACCACAGCTTAACATACAGCCACCAGGCAGGGCATACCACTGGTTAACATACAGCCACCAGGCAGGACATACCACATCTTAAGACACAGCCACCAGGCAGGGCATACTACATCTTAAGACACAGCCACCAGGCAGGGCATACCACAGCTTAAGACGCAGCCACCAGGCAGGACATACCACTGGTTAAAATACAGCCACCAGGCAGGACATACCACTGGTTAACATACAGCCACCAGGCAGGACATACCACTGGTTAAAATACAGCCACCAGGCAGGACATACCACTGGTTAACATACAGCCACCAGGCAGGACATACCACTGGTTAACATACAGCCACCAGGTAGGACATACCACTGGTTAACATACAGCCACCAGGCAGGACATACCACTGATTAACATACAGCCACTAGGTAGGACATACCACAACTTGACATACAGCCACCAGGCAGGACATACCACAACCAGGCAGACATACCACTGGCTACAGCCACCAGGCAGGACATACCACTGGTTAACATACAGCCACCAGGCAGGACATACCACATCTTAAGACACAGCCACCAGGCAGGGCATACCACAGCTTAAGACACAGCCACCAGGCAGGGCATACTACAGCTTAAGACGCAGCCACCAGGCAGGACATACCACTGGTTAAAATACAGCCACCAGGCAGGACATACCACAGCTTAAGACACAGCCACCAGGCAGGACATACCACTGGTTAACATACAGTCACCAGGCAGGACATACCACAGCTTAACATACAGCCACCAGGCAGGGCATACCACTGGTTAACATACAGCCACCAGGCAGGACATACCACATCTTAAGACACAGCCACCAGGCAGGGCATACTACATCTTAAGACACAGCCACCAGGCAGGGCATACCACAGCTTAAGACGCAGCCACCAGGCAGGACATACCACTGGTTAAAATACAGCCACCAGGCAGGACATACCACTGGTTAACATACAGCCACCAGGCAGGACATACCACTGGTTAAAATACAGCCACCAGGTAGGACATACCACTGGTTAACATACAGCCACCAGGCAGGACATACCACTGGTTAACATACAGCCACCAGGTAGGACATACCACTGGTTAACATACAGCCACCAGGCAGGACATACCACTGATTAACATACAGCCACTAGGTAGGACATACCACAACTTGACATACAGCCACCAGGCAGGACATACCACAACTTGACATACAGCCACCAGGCAGGACATACCACTGGTTAAAATACAGCCACCAGGCAGGACATACCACAGCTTAAGACACAGCCACCAGGCAGGACATACCACAGCTTAACATACAGCCACCAGGCAGGACATACCGCAGCTTAGGACGCAGCCACCAGGCAGGACATACCACTGGTTAAAATACAGACACCAGGCAGGACATACTACTGGTTAACATACAGCCACCAGGCAGGACATACCAAAGCTTAAGAAACAGCCACCAGGCAGGATGTACCATAGCTTAACATACAGCCACCAGGCAGGACATACCACTGGTTCACATACAGCCACCAGGCAGGACATACCACTGGTTAACATACAGCCACCAGGCAGGACATACTACATATTACAGCTACCGAGCCACACATACTACATATTACATCTACCAGAAATACATACTACATCTTACAGCCACCAGGCTGGACATCCTACATTTTACATCTACCAGCCATACATACTACATCTTACATCTACTAACCATACATACTACATCTTGCAGCTACCAGGCAGGACTTACTACAGCTTGAAGCTACTAGGCAGTACATACAGCTTACAGCTACCAGGCCACATATATTACAGCTTACAGCTACCAGGCCACACATTACCTACCAGGCCACACATCTTACATCTTACAGCTACCAGGCCACACATATTACAGCTTACAGCTACCAGGCCACACATCTCACATCTTACAGCTACCAGGCCACACATATTACATCTTACAGCTACCAGGCCACACATATTACATCTTACAGCTACCAGGCCACACATCCACATCTTACAGCCAGCTACCAGGCCACACATATTACAGCTTACAGCTACCAGGCCACACATATTACAGCTTACAGCTACCAGGCCACACATATTACAGCTTACAGCTACCAGGCCACACATATTACATCTTACAGCTACCAGGCCACACATATTATAGCTTACAGCTACCAGGCTGGATACAGTACAGGTTCACAAACAGCCACACTCCTGAACATATCACAGCTAAATCATTTCGTAACAGATTGACTCATCTTGACAAACATCTGGTAAAACATGACTCACCTTGACAGACAGCTGGTAAAACATTACTCACCTTGACAAACAGCTGGTAAAACATGGCTCACCTTGACAAACAGCTGGTAAAACATAGCTCACCTTGACAAACAGCTGGTACTGCTGTATCCGAGTATGGGAGTTGGTGAGCTGCTCCTGTGCAGCATCTATGGCAGCCTCGCTCTGCGTTGCCAGGTCATGCAGCTGCTGCTTGGCTGTCTTCTCCAGCTCGGCCAGGGCCTCCTCCAGCTCACCAGACTTGGCCTTGGCCTCACAGTACAGTTTGGTCTGCACATACACACTCAGGCTATTACCACTGCAGTCACAGAGCTTGTATCACAGAAAGGATTATTGCAAGGATGGGTAATATGGGGGAACAAATTGGGTACAATCCTGCATACACTTGCTTTTGAGATTGCCATTCAATTTGTTTGAGATTTTTCAAGCAGTGTCATCCACAAACGCTGCAGCTCTTTTTGTCCTTATGTTATAGGATATTTATATAGCGCACATATCCAGGCAACTAGTGCATGCTCAAGGCGCATATTAACCTGAAGTATACTGTAAGGCAAAAAAAACACATTTTTTAGGAAATTGTCAAAATTCAGTCTGAGATATTTAGAATGAAATAAACATTGCGAATACATTTCCTGGGCATACATGTTTAATTTTGTGAATTGTTTCATTAATATTGCCTTATTTAAGGTTACTAGTCACTTTTAAAACATATTGCTTAAACACACCATGGTACCGAGAAATTGTTTCACGGTGAAATGAACATGCACGTGCATTTGCTGACTGAAATGCCTATAAAATGGTGCCGATTGTTAGTGTCTGTCACTATTCGATAGCTGATTTCAAGATGCCAAGATGAAATGCATGTCAAATTGACCAAGCTATTGGTAGACTGAATGCAGGCCAAAGGGCGGATGACGTTGACCGTACTTTTACTGTCCATGTTACGACCATTAATCGCCTTAAACGTCGTTATGCAACCACGCTGACCACTGCTGACCGTCCAAGAAGTGGTAGGCTAAAAGTGACCACACCCAGACAAGACCGGTTCATCTGTCGTCAACATCAGGCAGATCCATTCCTCTGTGCCAGTGAAACAGCCCATAGGACCACTGGAGCTCACCAACACCCCATTAGTGGCCGTACCGTACGACGTCGACTGAAGGCCAACAACCTGAAATGTCGCCGCCCAGCTCGTCATCCTATACTGACCCCACGTCACCGTCAGGTTCGTCTTCAGTGGGCAACAAAACATCTGAACTGGCATCACAGACAGTGGAACCATGTGATCTTCTCGGACGAGTCGATTTTGCCTTTTCCATGCTGACAGACGAGTCAGAATATGGCGAAGATGAGGTCAACGTTATGCTGATCAGTGTGTGATGGAAAGGAACGTATGGGGCAGCCTGAGTGTAATGGTATGGGCAGGTATTGGCTACAACCAGAGACTAGGGCCAGTTGTGTTTCAGAATATTGGTCCTGGTAGGGGGAATGGTGTGAATGCTCAGCGGTACATTGATCAGGCTCTGCAACCCCATGTTGTGCCATTTTTTGCCAGACATCAGAACCACATTTACCAGCATGATAATGCAAGACCGCATGTTGCAAGGGTAACACAACAACATCTACAACATTACAACATTGCTGTTCTACCCTGGCCATCCATGAGTTCCAACCTAAACCCAATTGAACATTTGTGGGACGAAACTCAGAGACGATTGAACCAAGTTCGTCCAAGGCGAACTTCGAGCAGCAGTGCTACAGACAGTTACCAACATCTCACTGAACTTTACCAACAATTTGGTGCATTCCATGTACAGGAGTTGTGCCGCAACGGTAAATGCAAATGGTGGTCATACACGGTACTGACTTTTGTGACCTTGTGACCTTGATGCCTGATCATTCAAATCTCCATGAATGTTATGGCACTATCTCAAACATTTGTCAACCAAATGATCTTTGCAACTGGTAACATGTATGCATGTATCAGTTCCATACTGTCTTCTGAAAATGTTATAAACTATTTATTGGACTGCGCTTGCATTTCTTTTGCCTTTCAGTATATGAGTTATATAAAAATAACCAATCTTTAGAACATGATTTTCTTCATGGGCTTGATACAAATGAATAGCATGACAACTTGATATGGTCTTATGGAAGCTCTCAATCCTCTGTGGGTAATCCTTCAAATCCTTGCTTTAAATATCTCTTGCTACTGCCAAAGCAATGATTTTCTTTAGATCAGACCCACAAATTTTGCCTCAAGCAGAAAAGCTTAATTAATATCACATGACTACTTCTAGAGAATATGCTCTTATGGATACGGTATTGTGTGTGAGGCCTGCATGGCATTCCCCAGTAGTACATATCCTTACACTGAACATTTCTGCACTAGTGTTCTTCTGCACCTTGTGTACACAGAAACTTTAACCCAATATGCCAAAACGCTTGTAAATGAGCGAAATACCAAGGTTGCCATTTTGGATGATTACCTTCTTCTCCAGTTCCAGCACAGCCTTGCAGTACTTGTCTTCACAATCCTGCTTCTCCCTCACTGCCACACCCATACGGCGCCGGTATGACTCCATCTGAACACACAAACTAGGATTATCACAAGATCACCTTGTGCAGTATTTCACTGTGATAGTCAATTTATGTTTTCATGAAATCATACTCATCTCAATCAAATATCTGACTCACCTGTGTCTTCATCTTGTCATTGGCTTCAGAAAGGAGGTGAACTTTTGTCTCCATGTCAGTCTGAAACAGAAACAAGATCTCGCTTTAAGACAACACAGCATCAATGTCACACTCAGTCAATCACCACCATCACCTTGATGTAGGACAACACAGCATCAATGTCACACTCAGTCTATCACCACCAACATCTTGCTGTAAGACAACACAGCATCAATGAAACACTCAGTCAATCACCACCAACATCTGGCTGTAAGACAACACAGCATCAATGTAACACTCAGTCAATCACCACCAACACCTTGCTGTAGGACAACATGGCTTCAATGTAACACTCAGTCAATCACCACCAACATCTAGCTGTAAGACAACATAGCTTCAATGTAACACTCAGTCAATCACCACCAACATCTAGCTGTAAGACAACACAGCATCAATGTAACACTCAGTCTATCACCACCAACACCTTGATGTTGGACAACATGGCTTCAATGTAACACTCAGTCTATCACCACCAACATCTAGCAGTAAGACAACATGGCTTCAATGTAACACTCAGTCTATCACCACCAACAACTTGCTGTAAGACAACATAGCTTCAATGTAACACTCAGTCAATCACAACCAACATCTAGCTGTAAGACAACATAGCTTCAATGTAACACTCAGTCTATCACCACCAACACCTTGCTGTAGGACAACATGGCTTCAATGTAACACTCAGTCAATCACCACCAACATCTAGCTGTAAGACAACATGGCTTCAATGTAACACTCAGTCAATCACCACCAACATCTAGCTGTAAGACAATGTGGTTTCAATGTAACACTCAGTCTATCACCACCAACATCTTCCTGTAGGACAACATGGCATCAATGTAACACTCAGTCAATCACCACCAACACCTTGCTGTAGGACAATATGGCTTCAATGTAACACTCAGTCTATCACCACCAACACCATGCTGTAGGACAACATGGCATCAATGTAACACTCAGTCAATCACCACCAACATCTAGCAGTAAGACAACATGGCTTCAATGTAACACTCAGTCTATCACCACCAACACCTTGCTGTAGGACAACATGGCTTCAATGTAACACTCAGTCTATCACCACCAACACCTTGATGTAGGACAACATGGCTTCAATGTAACACTCAGTCTATCACCACCAACACCTTGATGTAGGACAACATGGCATCAATGTAACACTCAGTCAATCACCACCAACATCTAGCAGTAAGACAACATGGCTTCAATGTAACACTCAGTCAATCACCACCAACATCTAGCAGTAAGACAACATGGCTTCAATGTAACACTCAGTCTATCACCACCAACACCTTGATGTAGGACAACATGGCATCAATGTAACACTCAGTCTATCACCACCAACATCTTGCTGTAGGACAACATGGCATCAATGTAACACTCAGTCAATCACCACCAACATCTAGCAGTAAGACAACATGGCTTCAATGTAACACTCAGTCTATCACCACCACATGGCTCAGTCAACATAATGTAACACTCAGTCTATCACACCAACACTTGCTGTAGGACAACATGGCTTCAATGTAACACTCAGTCTATCACCACCAACACCTTGATGTAGGACAACATGGCTTCAATGTAACACTCAGTCTATCACCACCAACATCTAGCAGCAGACAACATGTAAGACAACATGGCTTCAATGTAACACTCAGTCTATCACCACCAACAACACCTTGCTGTAGGACAACATGGCTTCAATGTAACACTCAGTCTATCACCACCAACATCTAGCAGTAAGACAACATGGCTTCAATGTAACACTCAGTCTATCACCACCAACACCTTGATGTAGGACAACATGGCTTCAATGTAACACTCAGTCTATCACCACCAACACCTTGATGTAGGACAACATGGCTTCAATGTAACACTCAGTCTATCACCACCAACACCTTGATGTAGGACAACATGGCATCAATGTAACACTCAGTCTATCACCACCAACACCTTGCTGTAGGACAACATGGCTTCAATGTAACACTCAGTCTATCACCACCAACACCTTGATGTAGGACAACATGGCTTCAATGTAACACTCAGTCTATCACCACCAACATCTAGCAGTAAGACAACATGGCTTCAATGTAACACTCAGTCTATCACCAACAACACCTTGCTGTAGGACAACATGGCTTCAATGTAACACTCAATCTATCACCACCAACACCTTGATGTAGGACAACATGGCTTCAATGTAACACTCAGTCTATCACCACCAACACCTTGATGTAGGACAACATGGTTTCAATGTAACACTCAGTGAATCACCACCAACATCTAGCAGTAAGACAACATGGCTTCAATGTAACACTCAGTCTATCACCACCAACACCTTGCTGTAGGACAACATGGCTTCAATGTAACACTCAGTCTATCACCACCAACACCTTGCTGTAGGACAACATGGCTTCAATGTAACACTCAGTCAATCACCACCAACATCTAGCTGTAAGACAACATGGCTTCAATGTAACACTCAGTCAATCACCACCAACATTCAGCTGTAGGACAACATGGCTAAAATGTAACACTCAGTCAATCACCACCAACATCTACCTGTAAGACAACATGGCTTCAATGTAACACTCAGTCTATCACCACCAACACCTTGCTGTAGAACAACATGGCTTCAATGTAACACTCAGTCTATCACCACAAACACCTTGATGTAGGACAACATGGCATCAATGTAACACTCAGTCAATCACCACCAACATCTAGCAGTAAGACAACATGGCTTCAATGTAACACTCAGTCAATCACCACCAACATCTAGCAGTAAGACAACATGGCTTCAATGTAACACTCAGTCTATCACCACCAACACCTTGATGTAGGACAACATAGCATCAATGTAACACTCAGTCTATCACCACCAACATCTTGCTGTAGGACAACATGGCATCAATGTAACACTCAGTCAATCACCACCAACATCTAGCAGTAAGACAACATGGCTTCAATGTAACACTCAGTCTATCACCACCAACAACTTGCTGTAGGACAACATGGCTTCAATGTAACACTCAGTCTATCACCACCAACACCTTGATGTAGGACAACATGGCTTCAATGTAACACTCAGTCTATCACCACCAACATCTAGCAGTAAGACAACATGGCTTCAATGTAACACTCAGTCTATCACCACCAACAACTTGCTGTAGGACAACATGGCTTCAATGTAACACTCAGTCTATCACCACCAACATCTAGCAGTAAGACAACATGGCTTCAATGTAACACTCAGTCTATCACCACCAACACCTTGATGTAGGACAACATGGCTTCAATGTAACACTCAGTCTATCACCACCAACACCTTGATGTAGGACAACATGGCTTCAATGTAACACTCAGTCTATCACCACCAACACCTTGATGTTGGACAACATGGCTTCAATGTAACACTCAGTCTATCACCACCAACATCTAGCTGTAAGACAACATGGCTTCAATGTAACACTCAGTCTATCACCACCAACACCTTGCTGTAGGACAACATGGCTTCAATGTAACACTCAGTCTATCACCACCAACACCTTGATGTAGGACAACATGGCATCAATGTAACACTCAGTCTATTACCACCAACATCTAGCTGTAAGACAACATGGCTTCAATGTAACACTCAGTCTATCACCACCAACATCTAGCAGTAAGACAACATGGCTTCAATGTAACACTCAGTCTATCACCACCAACACCTTGCTGTAGGACAACATGGCTTCAATGTAACACTCAGTCTAGCACCACCAACACCTTGATGCAGGACAACATGGCTTCAATGTAACACTCAGTCTATCAACACCAACACCTTGCTGTAGGACAACATGGCTTCAATGTAACACTCAGTCTATCACCACCAACATCTAGCTGTAAGACAACATGGCATCAATGTAACACTCAGTCAATCACCACCAACATCTTGCTGTAAGACAACATGGCTTCAATGTAACACTCAGTCTATCACCACCAACACCTTGCTGTAGGACAACATGGCTTCAATGTAACACTCAGTCTATCACCACCAACACCTTGATGTAGGACAACATGGCTTCAATGTAACACTCAGTCTATCACCACCAACACCTTGCTGTAGGACAACATGGCTTCAATGTAACACTCAGTCAATCACCACCAACATCTAGCTGTAAGACAACATGGCTTCAATGTAACACTCAGTCAATCACCACCAACATCTAGCCGTAAGACAACATGGCTTCAATGTTACACTCAGTCAATCACCACCAACATCTTGCTGTAAGACAACATGGCTTCAATGTAACACTCAGTCTATCACCACCAACATCAAGCAGTAAGACAACATGGTTTCAATGTAACACTCAGTCTATCACCAACAACACCTTGCTGTAGGACAACATGGCTTCAATGTAACACTCAGTCTATCACCACCAACACCTTGATGTAGGACAACATGGCTTCAATGTAACACTCAGTCTATCACCACCAACACCTTGCTGTAGGACAACATGGCTTCAATGTAACACTCAGTCAATCACCACCAACATCTAGCTGTAAGACAACATGGCTTCAATGTAACACTCAGTCAATCACCACCAACATCTAGCCGTAAGACAACATGGCTTGAATGTTACACTCAGTCAATCACCACCAACATCTTGCTGTAAGACAACATGGCTTCAATGTAACACTCAGTCTATCACCACCAACATCAAGCAGTAAGACAACATGGTTTCAATGTAACACTCAGTCTATCACCAACAACACCTTGCTGTAGGACAACATGGCTTCAATGTAACACTCAGTCTATCACCACCAACACCTTGATGTAGGACAACATGGCTTCAATGTAACACTCAGTCTATCACCACCAACACCTTGCTGTACGACAAAATGGCTTCAATGTAACACTCAGTCTATCACCACCAAAACCTTGATGTAGGACAACATTGCTTCAAGGTAACACTCAGTCTATCACCACCAACAGCTTGCTGTAGGACAACATGGCTTCAATTTAA